TATATATATATACACACACACACACACACACACATATATACAAACACAGTATATATACGACCCCAATTCCTAAAAGTTGGGACGCTGTGTAAAATCTACATAAAAACAGAATACAGTGATTTGCTTATAAACCATAAACTCATATTTTATTCACAATAGAAAACAGAAAACATATCAAAATGTTTAAACTCAGAAAATTTACCAGAAAAAAAAGGATAAGGTAATTTTGAAATTGATGGCAGCAACACGTCTCAAAAAAGTTGGGATAAGGCAACTAAAAGTGGTACTAACAGGGAAAAGCTGGAAGAAGGTTAACTGGCTACAGGTCAGTAACCTGATTGTATAAAAGAGCATCTAAAAGGTGCCCATACACCTTGCGATTATCGTATCGTGCGATTGTACAATAATCACAAGGTGTATGGAAGGCGTGCGACCCCTGCTACTGTAAGGCTGCACGACTTTTGTTTAACGAGCATGTTTGAAAACCCGCCGAGAATCGTACAATTGTCGGCGGGTTTGTGGCATGCTTGTAAGACAAATGCCGAACGGGCCGGTGTGCGCAAGCACACACTGTCCGTTCAGCATTGCAGTCATCTGAATCCCGCCCCTCAGGGGAGCGGGCTTGCGATGATCGCAAGTACGATCTGCCTGTCCAAGATGGGCAGATCGTACGTTTTTTTAATTACCTTACAACCATCGCAAGACAAAAGTCTTGCGATGGTTGTAAGGTCTATGGCCAGCTTTAGAGAGTCAGAGTGTCTCAGAAGTAAAGATGGGCAGAGGTTCAACAATCTGTAAAAAGCTGCGTCTAAAAATTGTTGAACAATTTCAGAATAATGTTCCTCAACATAAAATTGCAAAGACTTTAAATATATCATCATCAACAGTACATAATATCCTCAAAAGATTCAGAGAATCTGGAGAAATCTCTGTGTGCAAGGGACAAGACCGAAGCACAGTATGGATGCCGTGACCTTCGGGTCCTCAGATGGCACTGCATTAAAAACAAGCATGATTCTGTGATGGACATCACTGCATGGGCTCAGGAATACTTCTAAAAATCACTGTCTATAAACACAGTTTGCCGTGCCATCCAAAAATGCAAGTTAAAGCTCTATCATGCAAAGAAGAAGCCATATCTGAACATGCTCCAGAAATGCCGCCGTCTTCTCTGGGCCAAAACTCATTTAAAATAGTCTATTGCAAAGTGGAAAACTGTTCTGTGGTCAGACAAATGGAAATTTGACAATCTTTTTGGCAACCATGGTCTCCGCATCCTAGAGACTAAAGAGGAGAGGGACCTTCCAACATGCTATCAGCGCTCAGTTCAAAAGCCTGCATCTCTGACATATATATATATACATACATATCATCCAGCCCTATCCAAGATACTGGCCTTAGGGTGCCATTATGGTGTATACAGCCCTTTACAGTACAGTACAATATACATTGCATTCATACTGCACATTGTATATTTGCTTAGGCTTTTCATTTGATGGAAATGGCTAAGAGTCAGAAAGGAAAACTAAACTATACATAAGACAATATACAAATTGAAATGAACTCTTAATCTTCTTCTTGCAGGAGCGTCTGGACAAAGCACTGCAAGGGAAGAAACCTCTACTCCTACACCACTGGATGTTAACTGCCTTAATTGGATTCTGCTGACATAATACATTTGTTGGATGAACAATATAGTTGCATAGTCTGTGTCTGAGTTATATTCATCAAATTTTACCAAATAAATTCTTGAGAAGGAAAATCCTGCAATTAAATGGTTTGTTTTTATTGAAATTTAGAAATATTTTTTTATTTAATTCCATATATATATATATATATATATACACATATATATATATATATATATGGTGGTGTACGTGCGTATGTGTCCCCCTTTGTGGTCCTAGGTTTTAAGAGTACCTGTACGCCTGTATGTTATGATCTCTGAGGAAGGTATCTAATTGATTTTTTAATGATTCAATACTCTCTGCTGATACCACTACTTGTGGCAGAAAGTTCCAAAATGTAACCACTCTAACTGAAAAGAAGACCCTACGCCCTTTGTGGTTAAAACTTTTCTCTACCATTTTTAGGTGGTGGCCTCTAGTCCTTGTTAGGGAGTTTACTGTAAAAAGTTTGATGTTGCCATCACCACTAAACATTTTGTACATCAAAATTATGTCCCCTCTTAATCGCCTCACTTCCAGTGTGAACGAGTCCAACTTTAGCAACCTTGTCTCATAGCTTTGATCCCCCAGCCCCTTAATGAGTTCAGTTGCCCTTTTCTTGACTCTCTCTAGCTCAAGGACATCCTTTCTGTGGATTGGTGACCAAAACTGAACCGCATATTCAAGATGAGGCCGAACCAGTGATCTATAAAGTGGTACAATTATTGCTTTATCTCTACAGTTCAGTCGCTTTTTAATGCAAGACAGTACTATGCTTGCTTTGTTTGCTCCAGCCTGGCATTGGTGCTGTTATTCAATTTGTAGTCGACTATGACCCCCAAATCTTTTTCCATTTCTGACTTCCCTAGTGGAATACCCATTAATGAGTATTCAGCTTGCCTGTTTTTAACACCAAAATGCATTACTCAACATTACATTTTTCAAAATTAAAGCTCACCTGCCATATAAAGTAGTTGCCCACTCCCATATTTTATCCAGGTCTTCTTGTAATGTTATGTCTAAGCCAGTGTCTGTTACCCTCCCAATTTTAGTATCATCTGCAAAAACAGAAATATGGCTATTCACGCCCTCCCCACTATCATTAATAAACAGGTTAAACAGTATGGGGCGTAGGACAGAACCCTGGGGCACACCACTCTCGACCTTTTTGAAAAAGAGCCATTTATTAATACTCTCTGGACACGTTCCTGTAGCCAGTTCTCTAACCATGTACACACCCTTTCATCTATGCCCATAGATCTCAGCTTGTGTATTAAGCGTTTTTGTGGTACTGTGTCAAAAGCTTTGGAAAATCTATCTACACCACATCCACCGGCCTTCCACCATCCAGAGCTCTACTCACCTCTTCGTAGAATGTTAATAGGTTGGTCTGACTAGAATGGTCCTTCAGAAATCCATGCTGATTATCACTTATTATAACTTTGTCACAAACAAAATCCAATAAATCATTGGTTCTCAACTGGTGGGTCGTGACCCAAAAGTGGGTATCGAGCCCATGTTCAGTGAGTCGCCACATGCCTTCCACTTTTCTAGGTGAGAGGCTCCTCTGCCTCCCCCTAGCGCAACACTGTCAGTTATTGCACCAAGCAGTCATTCAAAATATGCTGCCGAGTGTCAGTTTGAGGTGAGAGGGATGGGGCTATGGCCACAAGGGAGCTCTATTCATACGTGCATTGCTTACAGCTCCCTTACGTGTCCTGTAGAGGTGCCTGGACTGGAGTGACATCACATTCTGGCTCCGGGCACCTCTACACGGTACGCAAGGGAGCTGTTCAAGCAATGCACATATGGATGGAGCTCTGTCAAAGCATAGCAGCCCACACTGGACCACAGGTTGAAGATTCACTTAAGTTCTCGTAGGGTAGGGAGACTGGGTGGACCTTAAAAAAAATATTTTAAAAAATTAAATTTTTTGGGAGTGTGTATGTGTGTGTGTAAAATGTCTGTGAGTGTGTGAGATTGGTTCTATGGTTGTGTATGTATGTCAGTGTTTTTGAGGGCCCCTTCAAACTAGTACAGTGCTTTAATCACATAGTACCCTGCGATTAACGCACTGTACCACACAATCACACCTACTGTGAATTCTGGTGTGGGATGTGCGTTGTGTTGCTATTCAATTCAATGGTACCCCAAACACACCTACCACCCACAGTTCGAACAACCGCATCGGAACACGCAGTACCCTAATGCCGTGCGACTTGGGTCGCGACTTAATGACTAAGGATAAATGTGGGTTCTGAGGTTACACAGGTTGAGAATAACTGCACTAAATAGTCCTTTATCATTCCCTCAAACAGTTTGCATACTATTAATGTTAGACTGACTGGTCTGTAGTTCCCAGGTTGGCATCATGAACCTTTCTTGAATATTGATACTACTGTTGCCTTACGCCAATCACTTGGTACCCTTCTAGTCATTATGGAGTCCTTGAAAATGAGGAATTTTAGAGGCTCGCTATAACCTGGCTGAGTTCTTTAAGTACCAAGGGGTGCAGGTTATCCGGTCCTATTTATTTATTTGCATTACGTTTTTCAAGTCTTTGTTGAACCCCGGCCGGCTACCATCTGTGGTATCTTACGCACTAAGTTACTCACATTCATATCTCCATTAAACCCAACTTTTTCTTGATTGTATACTGAGGAGAAAAATGAATTTAATACCTCAGCTTTCTCCCTTTTATGTGATTTCTTGTACTACTTGTAATAATATGTGGGGATAACCACAAGGAGACTTTGCAATAGGATTAGAGATCACCCATCAAATTTTAGAACCCATACAGAAACAAATGTGACCAGACATTTCTGTGATGATCATAGTTCTAATATACAATCTCTGAAAGTTCACATTTTTGAATGAGGGGTTTTAGGAGCAAGAAGGGGTAATAGACTCTTAAAACTCTTAGAAGGAGGGAGGTATTTTGGATTTCCCAACGAGACACATGCATTCCAAAGGGGATGAGCTTCGACTGGGATGTCAGTCACTGAGGTATTAACCCACTGCATATGGTGTGAACGTACCCTTAGAGAGCTGCCATCATCCGAGGTGGCTGAGGAACATCCCCAAAGGGCAATGAATCCGAGTTAGAAGGAACTGCATCTTGGAAAATAACTTGAAAATGCAATCACAAACCATCCAACAGAGGTTTATAGAAAAAGGGTATATAGTAGGAAGGAGATTTCCAAAGTAGAAACTGATGTATTGGGGATGGATAGAAAGACCCTTTTACATTATAAAAATAGGGGAAACTAAAGATCCGCCTCTGGCATTCATAAGGAATTATTCGGCCCGATATCGACAACTTGAAAGGATTATTAAGAATCATTGGAATATTTTGACTAAAGATAGCACTTTGGGTCCTTTTCTTAAAAGTAAACCCACTTTTATTTACAGAAGAGCCCCTCTTCTTAGAAATACACTAGATATGAATGTTGAAGACCCCCCTAAAAAAGGCTTTACATTCTTTGGAGGTGTGGGTTTCCTACCCTGTAAGAGGTGCTTAAGCTGTAGAGTCACAGGCAATAGGAAGACAATGGAACGTTTCATGGGCAGTAATAATACGAAAATATATGAGATTAAAGAACTTATTACATGCAATACAAGATATGTTACCTACCTACTGGAGTGCCCTTGTGGTCTCCAGTACGTAGGTAGGACGACGAGACACATGAAAGTGAGAATGGCAGAACATATCAATAATATCAAAAGGAGTGACATTAACAATAATGTGTCCAAACATTTTACATTTTTCCACAAAAAAGATCCTCCTAAACTTAAAATAATTGGTATTGATAGGGTTAACAGACATTGGAGGGGTACTAATATGAGAAGGTCCATCTCTACAAATGAATCCAGATGGATCTATACTCTGAACACCCTAAGACCTGGTGGTTTACTTTACACAGAAAAAAAGATGTCCTAGAAATGTTTTTGAAATGTTGGCAAGTAGGATAGTGCATTAAAGTGACACTAAACTGAGGAGTTAAAGCTTAAAAGTGCATTTAAGTATCTTAACTATTAACAAAGTTGTATCTTATTTGTGTATCACTCGGCTGTAGATCCTCAAATCATCTCTGAATTCATGCTGGCACTGTCCTTCCTTCTGGAGGGTGGCTACTTTTGTTCCCCATCATCCCTGTGTGTGTTGTAAAGTAGTCACTGCTCCAAGCTCGCTCCTGTGATGGACTACCAGGGCCGCCGTCAGGGGGGTACGGCCGATACTCATGTAAGAGGCCCGGGCAGCCTCCGGGGCCACGACAGTTCACTCCTCTTCCTTCTTGACCACAATCTGCAAGGGAGAAGGCCTCTTGATTGACAGCTCTTATTCCACTTTCTCTGCACTTTCCCAACATAAAACAAGGCTCCCCTTCCTCTCTTTGATGAAGCCTTAGCAGGTGAATGTGGAGGAGGATCTGGGGAGTGTTTGTATAGTGTATCAGGTGTAGAAATGGAAGAGAGCCCTCCGCACACCTTACAGCAGTCCCGGCCAATTTAGGATGATGGTGCTCGAAGTGACCAAATCACGGATGGCACCGTGCAAACACAAAGCAAAAAGATAAAAAGTCACCAGCACTCGATTTTTTGATAGTAAGTATGTCCCTTTATTGGACAAAAGACGTCATAGGGGAGCCGACGTTTCGGGGCCACACAGGGTCCCTTCTTCAAGGCAGAAAGTATGACCTCATAGGCCTCATACTTTCTGCCTTGAAGATGGGACCCTGTGTGGCCCCAAAACGTCGGCTCCCCTATGACGTCTTTTGTCCAATAAAGGGTCCCTTCTTCAAGGCAGAAAGTATGACCTCATAGACCTCATACTTTCTGCCTTGAAGAAGGGACCCTGTGTGGCCCCGAAACGTCGGCTCCCCTATGACGTCTTTTGTCCAATAAAGGGACATACTTACTATCAAAAAATCGAGTGCTGGTGACTTTTTATCTTTTTGCTTTGTATAGTGTATCAGTTATTTGCACAGCAATAAAGTGTGGATTTACATTAGAAGATCTATGGAGTGTGGCTTCTGTTTTAGTGCCTATGCTGATTCATATTAGAATGTGCCCCTCCCTTTGCATTCCTGTGACCTCACTTGTGTCTGGAAAGTGCAGAGTCCCATACTTGGATCAAGCATGCAGCAAGTAAAGTCAGGTTATATTAATCATACTTGACCTGAATATTGGGTTAGGCCAGTCCCCCTAAGTATTGAAGCCAAACAGCACCAATGACAGCCAAACAGATAATATTTTCTAAAGGGGGCAGTGAGTGTCTCTCTCACTGCTGGTCTCCTTTAAACCCCAAATTAACTTTTCAGTTTCAGGTGAATATATTGCAGTTGCATAACAAAAGGTGTTCAAAGAATTATATTTCATTTACAAAGCAGCCACAAAATGTATAAAAGCCTGCCCCGTTAGCATGCTGCAGAGAGAGAGACCGGTGGTCTCTGTATTGAAATAGTGCTCACTTGGAAGAGGTTCAACCCGCCCCCTACGGAGTTAGACCGTAGTCAGCAAACTTCATGCTCCCTACAGATTGTAGAGCTAGAGCCCTGATTAACAAAAGGTCATGTTGACCTCTGCAGAGAAATAAGTGCTTCTACACAAAGAGCATGGGTTCTTCTCTCCAGCATGCTGGTAGGGGACAACCTTTTATAATCTGACAGATATGGACAGTCTAGAATGGTTTTATACACCTATGCTTTTAGAGGACAATTGGAGCAAATCACTTGTTAGCAGAAATAGTCCACCAATGTGATCCTTGCAAGTCTTCCCACTGTTTGATGCCCAAGCTGATAGCTCTTGCTCTGAAATGTTGAGGGCATTCCTTACATGGAAACTTCATCTTCAAGCCTAAAAAAACCCTCTCTCTAGATAACTGAAAACATTTTGACTTTTTAGGTTTTATTGCTAAATTCTAAGGCTTTTCAATAAGAGTCACTCAGTGTCAGATAAGGCATTACTGGAAAGCTTAAATAGATCAATTTATTTACATATGTCAAAAAATACTCCTTCCATCCCTTGTTCATCAAGCCATCCTTGTAAAAAAATTTAGTGCTTTACAAAACAGCTCAGCCGGTTCTTGAAATAAAGCAGTCCAAGTTTAGTCTTCACTTGCTGTGCTGTGTTTTGCCGGAATTTGCTGTATTCCTGCGACTTTTTAGCTAGTTGTTTATCGTTTGGTCTTTCTTTTTTCTGGTGTCCAATAGAGACGTGGCTACATGAACCTACTCTCAGGCGTCCCAAAGCATCGATGAAGAATTCTGTATTAAAAAAAATATTATCAATAATGCTTTTTTTATGTACCAGTAAAGGGTCTGCATGACAATCTAAACAAGTGGCAAATACAGTTACTATGTGATGCACAACCCTCAAAGTAAACAAAAAACTACCTTTACCTAGTGATGAGCCTGGGCTTGGTGTATTCCCAGTTCTCCCAAGCCCACTCAAAACTGTGGCTGCCACTCCCTCTTCCTGACCCAATCAGTTGGGAAGAGGCAAATTCCTGGCCAACTATACCTCACAAGAAGTGCTGTGGAATTCCCTCCTGCAACTGTTGCCACTGCTCGGGCCAAGAGGGCAGGGTGGTGGTCACATTTTTTTTCGGGAGTGGGCGAATTCAGATGAATTGGGTTTACACCAAGTCCACTTTACTCAATACTTAGGTAACAGTGCATTGGGGGTGCACTGTCAGGCTCAACAGAAGTGATGAGCCGGGGCTTTGGAGTGAACACAGTTTGCCCAAGCCCAGTAAAAACTGTGGCTGCCACTCCCTCCTCCTGACCAAAAAAGTTGCATTGCTGGCTTTGCAAAAGCATGTCATAAAAGGGCCGGGAATTCCCTTGCCACAACTGCTCCACCAATGACTGGGCCGTGGGGGTGGGGAGGGGGTGATGCAGGCTTGGGCGAATTTAGATGGACTGGTTTTGCACCAAATCCAGGCTCATCTCTACTCAACAAGCATCTGTAGGACTTAAATAATAATAATAATAACTGTAGGGAATAAAATAATGTACAAATGCACTTATATGATAAGAGTGAGGTATCCTGGACTTTCCATTACCCTATTTTCTTTCCTTGTTGTCACAGGAATTAAAAAATAAGGGGGAATAATTTTAATGAAGATATACGTGGCAAAATAGGTTACCAGGACTTCTAAGCCTCCCATTCCAACCAAAATAAACACAATTATGAATGACGGGGGTGGGACTTTGTCAGATGGGACGGGCTTGATTTTGACTTGGAGAGAACTCAAAGCTCTGTGCCTTCTGGGCTTACGATCCAAGGGTCTGCATAGAAAACACAGGGACTCTGTTAAAGAATAACACCAATCCTTATATCAAAGTTTGGGTGTTACTTTAGAAATATTTTTTGCATGCCAGGTTCAGTTACAAAGCCTCACAATGCAACTGTTGTGTTGGGGTTGATGTTTTTACTAAAACTGAAAAATATCAAAAGGGCGATTATAACGGGTACAAAGGGGCAAATTCCACAGAGACTACTCCTATATTTACACGCAAGGCATGGCTGCAAGAAGTCCAGACATAAACGTATTACCCATGCAGCCATTTCATTGATATTATTAGCCCAAATAATCCATTTAGTTTCCTATATTGATGGAAAAACAGTGATAGCCATGGATATCTTGCTTGCTGAATGTCAAGATGGACCATCATGTCTTTACCTCTGCAGGTCTTTTATAATAACCTCTTACTAGAAACACTGCAATGATGGTTGCTTAAGTTGGATTACCCCAAGCAACATATATGCAGACCTCCCATAGATAGAACATATTTTAAACTTGCACCTATACAATTTTGGAAACATTGGGAGAGGATGCAAAACAATGTAATTACCTGTATGTGCTACTCGGCTCAGTTTTGGGTCAAATCCAACACCCAGAATTCTCTCTGTATGGGCCAGGAAGAAATTCACTACTCCTCCACTCAGGACACAATTAGGAAAGCCTTCAATTTGATGGTATCCGCCTCCTTGCCAATGTAGACAATCGCCTTCGTCATCACCTTCCTCCAAGAGGAGTTTGAAGCTGAAATGGTTACCTTCCACATTACCACCTACCTGCAACAAATGCAAATTTACCACCATAAATGACAATGAACATTGATACACACTGGCTGTGAAGTGAACTCAGTGATTATCTAATCAGAATTTAAAAACAAAACTTTATGAATAAGCCCGATGAGGAGGGAACACTTTGGTACAGGGACACACAACACCTACACCAAAGGAACCCTGCTAAGAACGTCTTTCTCAGACTCAGTGAGAGTATACTGTGCCCAATCCATGATGCGGACATACTGATGCGAAATACCCGATGCTGCAACTTGCAGACAAGGTAACATCTAAAATTATGAATTTTGAATTCTATGAATCTGTATGACTAGACACAACAGTCTTATACGCAGGTTAAGGTGGCCGTATTAGAACATCTGAACTGCATCCAGAAAACTGCTGTCACGTGACTGAGACAAAAAATTAATGCATCAACCATCTCCCATGTTAGTAATAAGAGCCAAGGAAAACATCTTATAGCAATTCATAAAGAAAATATGCTAGTGAAAGGCACAGCTGTAAGCAATATACATTTGTTTAAAAAAAGCAATGTAGGACCCCCAAAGTGGATGACTTTCCCAGTGCCATGCTTCTGAACCTGCTGCATAGTAGCGATGTGGTGGCGTCTCTGGGGAAAAAGATAACCTGCATGGAAAAACCACAGGCAATACTGGTAACCAGTCCTTTGCCCTCTGCCTGCCTGTTTTTGGGGATACAAATACAAGGAAGAGTAAGAGGCACTGTGATGTTTGATTGTAAAATGTCCCGTGGTAGCAATATGCGTGGTTTTTTTTGTGTGGGGCTCAATAGCTTGGTAGTGGCTGCACCTACGGGGAACCACAGAGGGCAGGAGGGGGTCCTGGAGAAGCCAAAGAGAACAAAAAACAAAGCTGTTACCAAACTAAAAACTCATTTAGACCATTCTTCAGTTGTTGGCACTTCTGTCTTTTTGTTCCGACTGCCTGTTTTTGGGTACAGCTTCCAGAGTTCAGTTCCTTATTAAAGAATATGTATACCCAAAACATTTTTTTCAGTTGTGGGAAGAGTAGGGAAGGGTTAAATCTGTAATTTTCTTATGTCTGTGCCCCATTGGGGAGATATCCTTCATTTCTTATCTTGAAGATGGAACCGGACGTTAGAGGAAATCTCTACAAACTGTCAGGAATTCCTCACTTAGATAGTTGTCTCCAGAACATACATCCCCGTTTCAAGATTTCTCCTCTGTTCCTGTTCTGGGAACAGCCGTACAACTTTGGATTTACCATCATTTTTTATTTAATTTCATGTTGGCTGTTGTCACAGCCAACAGGACAGATGGAGGGGTGAATCTCTCCAGTGAGATAGCAAAAAATACTTGACATGGCATTTATCCCTCCCCCAGTCAGCCCAAAACTTTAAAAAAAGTGTAGTCACCCAGTCCAAAGAAGGGTGACTCCTTAAATGTACTTCTGTTAGCCTATGCTGATTTGCCACAGTGCAAAGCATTCGATAATGCAGTTAGAAACATATGTGTCTCCCTAACCAATCAATAGGAGGTTCATGGCCAGTGGTGCATGTTGGGGGAGAACATCAATATTTGGGGCTCACAGTGTGGGCCTACTGCCTGGGGGAGGATGCATGATGTGATGCGTTCTTTGTGCTATCCGACCAGGCCTGCAGTCGGGGTCTGAATCTGTCCCTGGGATGGAAAACCAAGAAAAAAAACTTCATCTGCTGGAGGTGCCAGAGAAGCCAGGGTGGGCTTGGACCCCGAGGAAGTCTGGTGTCTTGCCTAGGGAATTCTGTGCCATGTTTACTGACCAGCAAAGGTTCCACAATAAACAGTGCTATCACAGTTGGCTTGAAGGCCCTCTGCACTGTGAAACTGGGAAATGGTTGATGAATCTGCAATTCTTGTCCCTGATTGGTGCTTAGTGACTGGTGCTCAACTTGACTTCACACCAAACAACTGCATAAGGACTCATCCCTGATGTGAAATGTCACCCACCCTGCCTCTAAAGTCCTCCACATGTTCCTAGATGTCAGGGGATGCGATAAACCTTTTGGCTAGACATATACTTTTAAGTTCCATTAATTCTTAAGCAACAGTACATCTAGGTGAATGTATGCAGTAAAAAAATAGCAGATCTTACGATATCCAAGTCGGTTCCTTCCAGTACATCGACTAGTTGTTCTATTTTTGTCTGCTCTGTAAACAGAAAGTCATCATCCACCCAGAGGAAATATTTGGTGGTTACTTGGGATACGGCAAGATTCCTGCCGGCAAACCAGCCCTGGAAAAACAAGGCAAGTTTATTGGTCACAAATATTTGGCTCTCCAATTGGTAGAATTAACATCTGCTACAGCAAACCTTCAGAAATCAGAGATGTGCAACTACATAAAAGGAACCATGCACAGGCATCGAGCTCCATTGTCACTATCAGGAAGCTGATCCACAGCAATGTTGTGCAGCTGACTCGGGAATGGGTGCATGTAGACAGGAAGTGGCTCCAAGATGGGATCAGCAGCACTTAGATGCAACAAAAGGATGAAAGTGTTCCAGTTTTTGACTCAACTTTTGCCTTTGCCATTCTCATATAGACAAAGCATTTAAAGATGAACTCTAGGCAAATAGGTAAATACACAAATGTAATTATATAATAAATAAGGGGGAGTGGGGGGGGGGGTGATGTCATCAGGGCAAGATATATAAGGATTGGGCTTTACCTTAGCATATGGCATAATGTACTGTTCTACATTTGGATCTTCGATTTTCTCAATGTTTTCATTGTCATCTGCCACAATGACCTTTATGTCGGGGTAATACAGACGTAAACTTCTTAGCAGCTCTCGTAACTTCTCATAGCGTAGAAAGGTCTTCGTGGTGATGGTCACTAAGGAGCTAATGTTTCCATCTACAAATACAAAAGACAATATATGAGATTGCTGCAAAGTCCTCTTATCACATACTGCATATCATCATCATCATTTTTGGCTTGCTTATCCTGGCTGGGGTCAAGTAGGAGCAAGCCAATATACTTCTCTTGGGCAGACCAATGACGACTCCTATGGAAATACGAATCTGATCCCAGTAGTGTTTTCATCAAAATGTGCCCATCAGAACATAATGAACAGAATGCAGTGTAAGGTGCTGATGGGAAATATGGTGGAGGAGCAGTAATGCTTGGACCCCTGATCTCATGGGCCCAGGAGCAATTGCACCCTCTGTGGCCAAGTCCTAATTATATCAAGAACAGTTCCAACTTATCTAAAGTGACCATATGGTTAAAAACTACAAAGCTTTTGGCGGCAACAGATAATATTACAGCCTAACCCCTTGCCCATTATAAGGGGATCTTAATGTCGGTAGTTGGAGAAGTGCTTCCTGGTCATGTGATTGCTGTGATTGGCATTGTGCAGCAATTCCGCTATTGCCATTGCCACCACAACTGAGTATTTGAAGGAGTGAAGGTGGAACCCTGATTCTCCAGATGTCACGTGACTGCATCACAAGCTACCAACTCGGCTATGCAGCAAGCCCTCCTCCTAGGCTGCATCTTTTAACTGCTTCCAGCTGGCCTCACCCATGTACAGGTGAAACTCGAATAATTAGAATATCGTGCAAAAGTAATTGCAGTAAGTGCTGCAAAAGGGGCCCAAACCAAGTACTGAGTACATATGCATGCTTGTACTTTTCAGAGGTACAATCCTTGTTTTATTGATTGCATGTAATAATCTACTTTTTTGAGGTTGTGGATTTGGGGTTCTTGGGGTTTTCATGAGCTGTAAGCCATAATCATCACAATTATGACAAATCACGGCTTGAATTATCTTGCTTTGCATGTAATGAGTCTATCTCATTTATTAGTTTCACCTTTTAAGTTGCATTAGTGAAATAAATGAACTTTGCACGATATTCTAATTATTCGAGTTTCACCTGTATGTGGCAGCACAGAGGTGGACCTGAACACAGAGATCCTACATATATGAATTGCTGTGTTCTTTGGCCATGTTCAATTGGCTCTTCCAGAACTGTGACCGAGCTAAAACGAATAGCTTATGGTCACCTACAGATGATTAGGCAGCATGGGTTCCTGATTGCGTCACATTGTGCAGCCAATCATAGTAACCGCATAACCAGGAACACTTCCTACTGGCCTCTGGCATCTCAGCCCACTCAAAGGGCCAGTGGCAAGGGTGTTTTTTATTAGCAGAAGGAGAGGCTAACAATAAACCTACTTTAAAATGTTGTCCTAGCTGCTCATATGAGCAAACCACCAATACATTGCTGATGGAAAAGCTATATGATGCTACTCAACAGCAACAGCTCACTTATCTGGCCAGCAAGGGAGTAGCGTGTAGAACCAGTAGAGTACTTAAAAGTCAGAGAAAGTAATTGAAGGGAAATTTATGAAAACTGGAGCAGCTGTGCAACCAATCAGCCTCTCTGTTTATCTTAACTGACTGATTGGCTGGCATGCACAGCTGCTCCAGATTGGGTCTGCTCCAGTTTTAATAAATCTCCCCCCCCCCCCCACACCAAGTATTGAAGCCAAACTGTCAGAATGGCAGCCAGGTAACTGACATTTTGCAATGTAGTGGACATCAAAAGCATGCTACAGCTTTCTTTCTGCTTGGGTTTTTCTTGTTTGGTGTATTCTGTCCACTAGAGGGACATGGCCCGTAGCTGAGATTACTTATCAGCCGGGATTTAACTTTAAAAAAAAAATATTTTTTGTTTTGCATCATTTTGGCCACAAGAGGGACCTGGTTAACTGTAATATCTTATTATAAGGAAATAAGCCTTTCTTCGTGAAACATTGTTAATGGAAATCCTTCTTTAAAATGATAGGAATCATATTTTCTGCTTGTGTGACTGGCTGACTGATTATAAGACCAACCCTCCTCGTATGTAGCAATCAGAGAAAGTTTGTGCTATGCTCTTATCTATTAGGAGGGCAGAGCCATGTAAGAATAGTTCATTATGTATGCTAAAAACCTTCCAATGTATGTAACTAAATTACTGTGAATTTGAAGTCCAGCAATCCTTAGATATCTCTGTACCAAATTACCGGTGACTCTTATTCATGTGCATGTGGGTGTTTGGACCATTCTAAGCCCTGCCAAATGCACCTCAAATGTCTGATAAGAGTGCCAAAATACTAATTTGGGTGGTTGGGGATATGCAGCTCCCTATTGATTTGAGCTTTTTTTGTAGTACTCCCTTACCCCTGGACAGATAAGGTGGATCCCCTGGTGGCTTCTTGGGCTAGCATTTCCACTCTCAGGGTGGAATAATTAACTTTTTGTGGGTTAGAGAAAATTGGTGAGTCACTTTAGAACATTTAAACGCAGTTTTGTTGGCTTTACATATTTCAGGACAGAGGGTTAGATACAGGATAACTGAAAACAGGCAAGGTTGTGGACCTTTAAGTGGAGACCAGAAATCTGTAATTGTGGGCCATTAGAAGCTACCCAGTAGCACAAGTATATTCTGGAATGACCAGTTAGAATTTCTTGCAATGTCCACCAGCAGCATCTTATAACCAGCTCCCCAGGACACTATTTAGCACAGAAGCCTCTTTCCAAGATACTCCAAAACAGGCAGCCATCTCTCTGCTCCATTCCTTTTGAATATACCCTCCAGCAAGACAGCATAAATTCCCTAGTCTTAGCAAAGACCCTCCCCAGACTGCAGGACTGGAAGGCACAGACTTCAAGTACAACCTCCTCTCCAGGTAGGGTTGCCACCTGTCAGGGATTCACCCGGACAGTCAAGCTTTTGAATGCTGTGTCCAGGTTTTATGGCAGCTGAAGCCCGGACACAAGATGTCAGGCAGACAGGGCAGCCAAAATTAAGATAGGGGCTACTGGCCTCCACTGAAAATAGTCTCGACTGCGATATTAATGGGTGGTGCTATTTACACACAAATAAGCCACACGACTCATTCTCTCAAAAATATTTCTGTGTATCGCTAGAGCTTTTGGGTTTCACTGAAAGAAAAGGTGGCAACCCTATCTCCAGGCTGCAGCCCAATATACATAAGACCTCCTCTCCCAGCAGGAACCCAGGAGGCAAGGACCCTTCTGCAAGGCCACCCCAAATATTTATATCCTTCCCCCATCATATATCACTGGCAGTAAACCCCTAGTGATCGGCCAGAGAGGAAAAAAAATACTTATAACTCAGAACATCGTTTCATCTTGCTCTTTCTGCTGGAAAACACTCCCCGGCAACAGGCAGAAGTAAACAATAGTCTGAGCTTAGGGGCTTGGGCTAACTACAGCCCAGCTGCCCAATAAATTTGGAATAGAGACACCCTAGATCAAAGCAATGTCCATACACCTTCTTTGGTGGGCTCTCTACCAAAGAACTGTGCATACAGTGCCACGCCAACAACATGTGCATTGAAGGCTCTTCTAGATCCTTTCACAATTTCTGATAGTTACCAATCTATTTCCAGTTCTCTTCTTAATTAAGTCCCATGTGTTTATCTGTGAATGGTAAAATCCTATTTATATAAGGCCAAATTATGATTCATATTTATTGGCTCTTTGCCTCTTTTGTGGTGTAAAGTCATCCTAAAAATAATTCTTCTTTTGTCAGTTTAGGAAGCTGGCAGTGTTTGCGCTCTAGTGGAAAAAAAACAATGATATCTTTTCTCTTGAATTCAAGATTGGAGCATTCAGATCATCTATTTACTGTAGATGATCTGACATAGCTTGCTATAGGTTACAACTCTTTGAATTGCTTTAATGGATATGCAGAATTACATTACAAACTGGATGTACGTGGATTTAGAAGCACAGGAATTTCATGTTACAAGCCAAAAGTTCCCTTTGTTTTGCTGTGAGAAAAGAAGAATCTGGTATTGCTACCCAGAACTGCTAGCTTAGTCCAGCTGCCTTTATTTTAATAGAGCCCAATGGTCCTTATTAGACATGTAAGCTGCAGGAAAATGTGGTCCAGTTCAGATATTTCATTATTTCAGGATTCGGATCCGAAATTCAATTCACTTCGGTTTTCAAATTCGAACGAAATGCAAATTTTTGTAAATTTTGAATGAGTTTACGAACGAATATTAATTCCGACTACCACAGAAAACCATATACAGATATTAATACTAAAGCTGAATCTCCTAGACCCGATTGGCATTTGGGATCCGAATTTCCAGATTGCATTCGGGAGCTCCCGAATGCCATTCGGGTCTGGGAGCCATATACATATATTACTAAAGCTAAGGCTCCAAGACACGAATGGCATTCGGGAGATCCTAAATGCAATTCGGAAATTAGGATCCCGAATGCCATTTGGGTCTAGGAGCCTCAGCTTTAGTATTATATGTATATACTGTACATGGCTCCCATGTTGCCGTAACGAAAATTTGTATTCAGACCTATTCGGATGCATTAAAGTGAAAATCACATCTGATTGGCCACATGTCCGATTTAGTTTAGCTTTTGAGCGAAATTCGGACAGGATCCGAAATTCGTAAATGGAAATTCGGAGTCGGACACATTCGGATGCATTGGGATTCGGAAGTTCAGATTTGTAGGAATTTCGGAAAATTTGTACGAATTTTGATTCGGAATGAAACAAATTGCACATGTCTAGCCCTTATCTTTGGAAGTGTTGGATTTTGTTCTCTGTCCTAGATGCATGAAGGAACAGCGTGCAGCCAATCAGATTCTATAGTGCAAATAACAGAACTGAAATAACCTAATTTTGCTTATACTTACACTGTCCTGGGTCATGTAAGCGGACTATTGGTGGTTGTCGAATTGAAACTGGGATATGAGCCAAGTACTTTCCCATAGAAAATTTAACTGTAATGAAGAGAAAACCAAGACTGTTTAATATACTGCAAATAGCATTCCATTTAAAAGCAACAATACAAAAAAATTAGTGGACAAAAAACCATAATATACTGCAGAACCATGAACTGAAATCATATCAGTTTGATGACTAGAGGGAATCTCTGTGCCACTAAACACTAAAGTCTTTAGCCTAATTAGATATAGAACAGTGACTTCATCCATTTCCTCTGCGATGTGCTTAGTCTTTCCCACCCAACACCTCTTGGGTGTGACCTGCTTGATCCATAGAAGGTCCTCAATGTGGGTGCCTTCAAACAAATGCAAACTTTAAAGGAAGGGGTAGATGTGCCTGAGTGAAAAAAAGGAATATTAGAAGGCTGCTTGCTAGGGCCCTAGTGGGGAGCGAGTGGCTGCCTAATTAGAGAGCCCGCATCTGCTGCGCCTACACCCTACTGCCTGGACCCCTGGTAAGAGCCCACAATGGCCACCTAAAAGCCCCACTGACCACCTGAGAACCCAGAGTAACCACATAAAAGCCCCATCTGACCACCTGAGAAACCGCACTGGCTGCCTGAAAGCCTGCACTGGCCACCCGAGAGCCCCCACTGGCTACCTGAGAGCCCCAACTGGCTACCCGAGAGCTCCCACTGGCTACCTGGGAGCCCCCACTGGCCATCTGGGAGCCATCACTGACTACCTGAAAGTCCCACTGGCCACCTGGGAGCCTAATTAGAGACTACGCCCGCGTCTGAGTGGAAAAAATGCATATTAGAAGGCTGCTCGCAGGGGCCTTTGGGGCCCTAGTGAGGAGCGAGTTGCTGCCTAACTAGAGAGCCACATCTGCTGAGCCCGAACCCACCTGGGAGACTGTACGGGCCCCTGGTGAGAGCCTGCACTGGCCACCTGAGAGCCCACACTGGCCACATCAGGCCACAAACCCAGAGCAACAGAGTATGTAGCTTCATGTTATTCTGCAGTGCTGTTTAATGTATTACTGGGATTTGTAGTCCTTTATAGCCGGTGCCATTCTGCATTTCTGTATAATTATTGCTGGGATTCATAGTCCTTTATATGCAGTGGTATTCTGCATTCCCGAGACCCCGCACAGCCATCCTGAGACCCTACAAAGCCCCCGAGAACCCACAGAGACCATACAAAGCCCCCGAGAACCCTGCACAGCCTCTTGGCAGTTCTGTAAGCAACACCTTTTTTTCTGGCAGTGTCCCTCCCGAGGTGAGACTCTGGATCTGCCCCTGGTGTTAGCATTGCCTATAAAGGTTATATACAATCAAGGTGACCAGTGTTCTCCAACCAGCTAGAGTTTCCAGGACCTTTTTTCCCCATTGACAGAGCTTCTCATCTTCCTTCAAATTCAGCAATACAAAAAATTGACAGGGCTTCTTCTCTATCCCAAATATGGCTATACATAGACTTTAATAAAATAGATCAGTCTTGCAAATGCATTTGCTTTCTATCCTATAGAACTTTTCTTACCAATGTCTAGACTGTCGATGGTGTAAAGAGTACTTGTGTAAGTTGTGGTCCTCAAAATGTGATTTAACACACTGATATCATTGGTAACAATCTCTAGATGTTTTTCTCCTCTGCCATTAATCTGAACCTCAGGAATCCCAGACGTATTAACTTGAAAGGTTCCAAGAGATGCCTCAAGTGCCACCTGCAAGAACAGATTTTAAAATCCTAAGATTTAAGCAGAACTAAAAAATAAAAATTAAATTAAATTGTGAGCCTGCAGGCCATCACCATCAGAGACTTGATGACGTGATTTTGACATTCGATTTTGGAGATGACCCACAGTCATTTTTTTCACCTTAGTCCTTCGATTTTGTTAATTAAGAAAGTTAAAAACAAATCATGGATGTAACCCCATTAACTATTAGAAATATTTTTTTAAATGAAATTCTACTGGTGTATGGCCAGCTTTAATGGTCATTGTACTTCAACAGTTTTTTTGTTGCCTTTCTCTGGGTCAACAGGGGGTAGCTGTGGGCATAGCATTCTGTTTAGACTTTTCTTCTCTTTTTGTTTTTTCTCCATATCTCTATAGGTTGAACTCGATGGACTTTTTTTAACCCCACTAACTATGTAACTACACGATTTTGCTTAGCAAGGAGAGTGGGTGGGAAACATCACATGGGGGAATATTAGCAATATATGATTGGTTACAGGATGATGACAGATAGCGTCAAGTTATTGGCACATATGTCGGATTGCCCCATTGGGGGATTCGAGGTATTCCCAGTTATGCAAAGAAGAGGGACTGAATAAATGTATCGGTAGATACATAGTAGGCTTATTAGCCCCCAGTCTAATCAGCCCTAGTATTTGTGTGGGTGTATGTATGCATGTGAGATAGGGCCTTAGATTATTAACTCCTTGAGGTCAAGAACCGAATACACACACACACACACACACACACACACACACACTAAGATATATATCAGTACCTATAGATACCTGTAATACTACTACTAATAAGAAATATGAAGGAAATGTATTATGCATCATTGTATTCAATACCAGGGAAATATGCAGATTTGGCAACAAATAAATATAAAGAAAAAAGAAAGAATTACATAACAGAAGCAAATTTGCCTGTAATAGATATCGAGGACAGAGAAAACATGAACTTGATATTTTCAGAAAAGGAAATTAAAGAAGCAATATCCACACTACAAATTAGCAAGGCTCCTGGGCCAGACGGGTTCACAGCCCGATTTTATAAACAGTTTGAAGAGCAGTTAATACCTATTTTTACAAAGACCTGCAACTCAGTTACAGAGAATAATCCCTTTCCTACACAGACAATGGAAGCACATATATCTGTGCTTCCTAAACCAGGTAAAGACCTAACAGAATGCGGACATTTTCGTCCAATCTCTCTTATAAACATTGATCTGAAGATTTATGCAAAAGTATTGGCGGCCAGGTTGAAAAAAGTCCTCCCCCAAATAATTAACCTGGATCAAACCGGATTTGTTCAGGGAAGAGAGGCTAGAGACAGTACAACTAGGGTTATCAATCTAATAGAACTCGCCCAGAAAGAAAATATACCAATGTGTATTCTGTCAATTGATGCTGAAAAAGCATTTGACAGAGTAAATTGGACCTTTCTTAGGGAATCTATTCTGAAAGTGGGATTGGGTGAGACATTTGTAACTAAGGTAATGGCATTATATACACATCCAACTGCAAAAGTAAGGGTGAATGGGGAATCCGCCCCGTTCCCAATTTTTAATGGAACCCGGCAAGGATGCCCCCTATCACCCTGATTATATGTCATAGTGATGGAACAACTAGCTGCTACCATAAGACTTTTCTTTATAACTTCCCCATTAACAACAATCCCTAACATCATTAAAGAACTTAAGGAATATGGGGACCTGAGCAATTTTCATATAAATATATCCAAGTCAGAATTCCTGAATATATCCCTAACGGATAAAGTAAAACTTAGCATAAAGGAAAATTATTCATTTAAATGGCAGCCTAATTCTATTGTATACCTAGGTATACCTAGGTATTAATATCCCAAAGGATCTCAACACACTCAACAATTTTTAGTGAAGTCGGTAATACAGATATGGGATAGGTCTATCACTAAATACAATTTAGCTGCCAGACCTGGGCCCCTGACCCCCCATAGTGGGAAACCCACAGTTTCCACCGGTATGCAAGTGTTCTCCTTACCGAAAGATGAAAAGTGTTTTTATTTGCAGCGTTATCTAAAAAAATATATAAGACCATATCCAACTAATGAGCAAGATAAAGCAATTGTGGATTGTTGGATTACTAAATCCTTTTTAGATAGGGGAAGTAAGGAGAAGTGAATGCTGCAATAAACATGATTACCAGAGAAGATACTTTCTGTCTTTCTGTATCAGGGAGGTACTAAAGAGAGTTAGTGCCTGCCTGATTTGAGGCTCACAATAAAATGTGGCAAGTGGGTGATCATTGATTTATTGTAGACTTTATTATACAATACCCAATATTAGACACCAATATATGTTTATAGTTATAAGTAATGGAAGAAAAAAAATATCTGTGAAAGTATTTCTCCTCTTTAGAAAAATTATTTTTATAAAATATCTCACAAAGGTTCAAGTGTCTCTCTCCACACCAGCACGCCAACCCCCCCTCCAAGGAGGCACATTGTAAATGGAACTGGATTGTTAAGAGCCCGGGTGGTGGAATGTATTAGGCATATTCTAACCATCTTCAGTTTTGGATGCATAAGAATATGTAAGGAAAATAAAACACCTTTAAAATTGTTTTGAAAAGATTAAAATAGAGGATGTATGGTGAGCTTTTGCAGATACATACTCAGTTTATTTTTAAACATGAGGATAAGTTAAATGCAATAATAATGCATTTTCAGAAAAGAAGGGCCTGGGATGCAAAAGGAAATTCTAATTGAGTTAATACAGTTTGCTTTGACACAATTCATTTTGGCATAAAGTTGAATTTTTTTAGTCAGAAGCCCAGAACAGCTATGGGAGCCAGATTTGCTCCGAGTCTTGCAAATATATTTCTGGCTCAACTAGAAGACATTCGTGTTTTTTTCAGTAAAAGAGGAAAAATGTATTGTACTTTAAGTGTTTTATAGATGATGTATTTTTGATTTGGAAGGGACTGAAACATTATTTAATAACCTGAGTTAAAGGATAATGAAAATGGTTACATTTACATATAAATGTTATGGTCATAATATTGATTATTTGAAAGTTAAAATTTGTAGGAAATATATACAAATACTAATTTTAAAGGGTCTGATGGGTAATGGGTATATCCTGAAGGCGAGTTGCCAACACTTAATGTGGTTGAATAATTTTCCTAGGGGACAATTAGAAGGAATTACGAAGAGATTGAAAATTTTAATAGACAATCCGAATTAGATAAAGATTCAGTTCATAGACAAAAGGGAGCTCCCAGATGTTGCATTGCTGGAGGGAAAATGAGCCTACCCTTCTAAGGCAGCTGGCGTGGTTCCAGTGAAACCAGCTACTGAGTTACTGGGATGGTAGATATTGCTGGGTACAGTGTTTGTTTGTTTTTTTGCAATACTGCTGCATATGAACTTTATCATATTGAGAAGCAACATGATGTGTATACAGAAGTATACTTTACCGTGTATTTTGGCAAAGATGCATCCACCTGTAAACCTGTAACGGAAACAAAATACGAGTTAAACATGTTAGCCTCAATTCACAAAGCTTTAACACAAAGATAAGGATCGTTATTTTAGCTATTTGACCGTCGTTTTCAAATGTCATTGCCCTCTGCGAAAAAATAACTGTAATTTCTTTGAAAATAAGTACCGTTATCTTGATGTGTTAGCTTTGTGCATTTAAGCTGTAATCGGAGTTTCCCTGGGTCGAATTAAATCCATGCAATCAGAAAATTATCCCCATCACATGCCCCTCATTTATAAATAACTGGTTGCCTAAAGCTGGCCATACACCTTAAGGCCATACACCTTCCCGCGATCGTACGATAATCGTGCAGTGTATGGAAGGCGTGCGACCGTTTCTACTGTACGGTCGCACGTCTTCCATCGAACAAGCAGGCTGGAAAACCCACCCGGAATAGTACGATTCTCCCCCTCAGGGGGGCGGGCTTGCGATGATCGCAAGCATGATCTGCCTGTCCAAGATAGCAAGATCGTAAGTTTTTTTAAGTACTTTTCAACCCTCGCAAGACTTTTGTCTTGCGAGGGTTATAAAGGGTATGGCCACCTTTACAACCATCGCACGACTTTCATCCTGCGATGGTTGTAAGGTAATTGAAAGCTCGTACGATCTACCCATCTTGGGCAGGCAGATCGTACTTGCAATCATCACAAGCCCGCCCCGCTGAGGGGAGGGCTTCTGATGATTCCAACGCTTGCGCACACCGGCCCGTGCAGCATTTGTCTCCCAAGAACGCCACTAACCCGCCGAAAATCGTACGATTCTCTGCGGGTTTTCAAGCCTGCTCGGGAGACAAAAGATGTCCGACCGTACAGTAGAAACGTTCGCACGCCTTCCTTAAACCTGCCGATTATCGTACGATCGCGGGATCACCAGTGATTATCATACGATAATCGGCAGGTGTATGGGCACCTTAAAAGTAGCAGAACTTTCATATAGTCTCAAGGAGGTTTTACACATTTGGAAAGTCTGTCAGTCTACATCCTTCTCTGTCTGTCTGTGTCCATCAATGTATCAGCATTCAGCCATTACAACAGTAACATGTATTCTGTCTTTCTAGCTATTAGTGAGTACAATGTCTATTTGCATTTGCTCATGTATCCCGCAGATTTTTTGATGACCTCATGCATTTATATGGTCACAGAACTCTTTGGTTTCACTAAATAAAGGCATGCTTTGTGATAAGGGGCGTACTGCCCCATATCATTATCAGAAATGCATTTAATCACCAGTTGGCATTTATTCCCAAGAGATGTTGGTCTTACCTGGTAATAGGATTGTGTTAAGTGGTATGACTTGGACTCCGTGAATTGGATACCTTAACGGTGAGTTGGAAGGTGCCACAATGATATTACGGGTCTTCTCCCTGAAAATGACATAAGCAGAAAAAAAACATGATAGGTATGAAGTTATATGACGGGGTATTCTAGTTAACTTTATATGGTTTATAAATCACGCAAAAGCCCCAATGCTACCATATTGTAGTACTGTATATAAACAGTTAAATTATAAAGATGTAACATAGAAGATAAAAATAAATGGAATTACACACCAGACTTTCACATAATTGGAGCCTTGAAGCACATCTGGCTGCGTTTCTCACACTCCAGCAGCATTAGAAGTTCCAAAGCAATACCAGTCACTTGGCGAAGGCAGCCATTTATGTACTGATCCAGAATAATTAACAGGAGTTTCTGTAATTCTCAAGAGCCTTTTAAAGCTCATTGCACCCTTTCATTTTTGACAAAGTAGGGAAGGGTTAGACCCTTTGAGGGGGTTTGACCCCTTCGCTGGGGGGGGGGGATTCATCCCTCTATATATCCTGGTGACTATTGTTAGAAAGGGAAGGAAAATACAAAATTAGAGTTGGGCTTGGTGTTCGAGTCAAAGTGAGTTTGACTCGAACATCGCTAGTTCGTGTGTTCGCCGAACACACAAACTATCAGGGCATTCGGCGGGCTGTTCGCCTGCCGAGGTCGGGTGCAAGACTTTGCCCAATCAGGGCACAGATAACTGAGAGCTGATGACTTTGCCCAACCATGGCTCACTGCTAAGTCCCAGCAGCACAATATACAAGGCTGCTTACACCACAGCCCTATGTAGTTTGTTGCTAAAGTTAAAAAAGAGAGTTTACTATCATTGTTCTATCATCCTTTTTGGATGTTCTAAAGTTCGGCCCATCGCTATACAAAATTAGAGAGTTGTCATCACAGCAATAAGTAAGGGGAAATCCTTAAGTGGGGGATATCTGTTCTATTGACAACCCTCTCAGATGGGAATTCCATTCATTTTGTAGAAATTTCCTCTCATTTCCTGTAAGTCTCCAGGACAGCAAGTGAAGAAAAATCTCTCCAGTGGGATACAAAACGCAAAAAAACAACTTTAGGGACACTTTAATTAAGCTTTCCCTATGGACTCCAATGCATTTTTACCAAGTGGCAAAATTTCACCAAATTCTCAACATTTTTCACTAAAAATTTAGAAAAATAAGAAAATTCTCATTTTTGCACATACCTAGTAGAAATATATAATACAAGTTAAAGTTATCATTTTGAGCAGCATATTTGATATGTACTATGCATCTATATAACAAAGGTAAATTATTAAAAATATTGTGTTTTAAGTAAGCCAACAATGTGCAGCTTATCATATGCTGCAGCTATCTGACAACATACAGTGTGGTACAGTATGTATTGATAAGCTTTTCCACGGTAAGTGTCAATTTACAAGGATTAGCCAATCAGCTGGCTAGTGAACAATAGTGCCATGTAGACCTTAGAACAACTCAAATTCCTGTACCTTCAGACCTCAGATCTAGGACTGCAACTAACGATTATTTTTATAAATTGATTAGTTGGCCTATTATTTTTTCGATCAGATAAAAAAATAGCATCTTTCATTTAAAATACCATCTTTCATTTTACAAAAAATACACAAATGGAGTTACCTAGAACGCATGGCATTGCAGTACTGCACGTTCCAGTGCAGGTGATCACACTGCGGGCGGGTCATTTGGGATACCATTGAAATAATGGCACCACAATACACAGAAATTTCAGGCCGGAACAAAAAATGAAGCTTTCCACTAATTATATATAATAAAAACCCGGTCATCAATTTAGAGTTAGCCAGGAGCATTGGCCCGAGAATTATTATTGCTCTCACTCAAGTGCACACGGTGATAGCCGACATGTGTAGCACAATCATCGTTTTTCTATGTAGGTGCACCCAACTTGTGTTTTCGTTAGTATACGCGCGTTCTTGGGGTTGGGGGACTTATATTTTTGGGGGGGTATTTTATTTTTAATGATAGCACATTGGAGGTGACATGTTCTCTTTACGGTGAAGACAAGTCACCTAGGGGACACTAGGGGTCTTTGTATGATTAAGCAGTACATAGAACATTTCACTTTGTAGGTCGCAATAACTAGAGTTCACGTAGAACATTTAGGCTTAATAGGTCAAAGTAACAAGGGTTCAAAGACAGAAAGTCATAAACAAATTTTCTGACCGTGGCTTAAGGAACAATAAGTACAATGCCGAGACAACTGTCCTCTAACCTTGAAATGAGGAAGTCTTATCAAGACCAGAAGAGCCATCTAATGTTCTTGGCACAATCAAATACAAGTACAGGGTGGCATTATTACCTTACATTATCTCCAAAAAGATTCTTTGAAAGCACCTGAATTGCTACTTGTTCCTGGCCAGCTGGGTAAACCTACTTCTTGAAGACCTGCCTGGTGTCAATTCTCCGTTCATTCAACTTCATTAGGTGGGCGAAGTTCTTTACATGAAGACGCCAGCAGGTAGTAGGAGGAATTTATCAAAACTGGAGTAGACAAAATCTGGAGCAGTTGCCTAGAGCAACCAATCAGCTTCTCTCTTTAGTTTGTTCAGTTAAGATTTGAAAATGAAAGAGAGAAGCTGATTGATTGCCATGCACAGCTGCTCCAGATTTTGATACAGTCTTCTCTTTCTTTCTACATGCATTTGCTCCAGCATCAGCTGCACATCATTGCTCTGGCCCAGCTTCCTGATAGTGACAACAGTGAGCCATGCTTGAACAATCTGTGTCAGCACCGCTGCCTATAAAAGTGCATGTGACAGAGTGACAATGCAGAAGCACAACTGGAAGTGGTCGCCCTATAACAGAAAGGGTCTGAACAAGTACTTTCATAAAAGGATCACCAGGTATGCTTTTAATAAAAGCAGAGATTTAAGAAAATTGAAAATAACTTTAGAAATTACATTAATTTGTTAAAGCTTAAAGGACATTTTGGTGATTGGTTTCACATCAACTTTAAGCCCCATCCCCTCCCATTGCTAAACCCTTTTAAACCCATTTATTAGTCAAATACCACAGCTTCAATGGGCGGGAAGAGTTAAGACACTGTTTCAATTTTAGGAACTTGAACATTAAAACCTGAGGGAGGTTCTATCCCTTCCTCTAGCATTAAAAAAAAAGACAAACTCTTAAGGTGCCCATACACTGCACGATTCTCGTACGCGATCGTACGAGAATCGTGCAGTGTATGGAAGGCGTGCGATTGTTTCTACTGTACGGTCGCACGTCTTCCGTCGAACCCACAGGCTAGAAAACCTGCCGGGAATCGTACGATTCTTGGTGAGTTAGTGGCCTGCTTGTTCGACAACTGATGAACGGGCCGGTGTGCACACGCGCACACTGCCCGTTTGCCGTCCTCGCAAGCCCACCCCTCAAGGGGGTGGGCTTGCGATGATCGCAAGTACGATCTGCCTGTCCAAGATGGGCAGATCGTACGTTTTTTAAAGTACTTTACAACCCTCGCAAGACAAAAGTCTTGCGAGGGTTGTAAAGTGTATGGGCACCTTTACTTCCTGTCCTGCCTGAATTGTACAAAAAACTTCCCAGCAAGGGCACAGACAGCAATCATTCTACAAAGGTTCTGGCCCTTCACTACATCAAACTCATAAATAAAAAGGAAGAAGTTGTTGGGCTTTGAGCCAAATCACAACACACATCTCTATGAATCAATATTTAGTGAAAAAAAAGACAGAACAAAATCTCTTATTTCTGAACAATTGTTAAATAAGGAAATCAATCTATGGGAACAAACAGATAAAATGTATTTCATTGTTAATTCCCTGTTGACACAGTTGATATTATTTTTTTGCTCAAGGTTTAACCTTTTTGTGACCCGAGGTCATTAACATCTAAATGCCCAAGCAATATATAGTAGAATCCTTCTGTGTTGGTTAACTTAACTCTAGCGTATATGCCTAATTGAATATTCTTTACCCTGTTTAAAGGACAAATAAGACTTATTTGGCAGGCTGTTTCAATGAAAACCCTGTTGAGATATTATAAGCCTACTAATGGAAAAAAATGTGAAAAGGAAAAATAAAAATAAAAAATCAGGTCCAAGTGACACTATATCCTGTCATAGCCCCTCCCCCAGCAAGATATACTCATCTATGCTTCCTCACCACCTACCTCATTCATGAGAGCCCTTGATCTCTAGCTCTAAGGCCAAGTTGAAATGGGTGGCAAAACAAAGATGGTTCATCTGTGTTTTTACAGCTCCTTGATAGCCTACTTACAAACGAACATGGCAGCTGCTTTGTAATTGCCCCACATCTGGAGGGCCAAGGCTTGCCATTTCCTGGTTTATCGTAACTTGGTTATTGCCATCAATACACAGATCTGCCCCAAGTACTTGGAAGGCAGAGAAAGCCTCCAAAGGATTTGAAACAACCTATGGCATCTGCAGCGGCTGACAGGTAAATATGCTGCTACAATGTCATTGATTCCAATCTTTGTTTTACGTGATGACAAATTGGTGGTTTCTTTGTTTAAAAAAGAAACTTCAGGATATAAAATAAAAAAAATCTTTACAACAAATGTTACAGAAATGCTAGGGCAATGCCTTGTTTTACTAGAGCTTCCCGTTCCTTCCTGTATTAGTGCAGCAGCTGAGGCTTACAACCTTACTGGAGTGTTCTGAAATCTAGTGACCAGTCACCGATGTCCACTCTTCATGAGCACAGGATTGGTCATATAATAGCCCTACTGTTGGGTTGGTGCCGCTTTCTTCTTTTTTCCCCACCCATTCATACCTTTCCCAACCAACGGGCTACTCCTCCTACCCTACCGTGACTTTTTAGACCCTAAAAATTAGATAGGCATCTGCTTTCTTATTTTGTCTAAAGAACTTAAAGTACAATTGAAGCTTTTTTTTTTGGCTAGGAATTGAGTGGCCAGGGATTAGAAGACCATCAGGTTTTTATTGCTGTCTGCATACACATGAGGAAGATCCACCCCCTAGAATAGTCCTGTTGACTATCCTGTGACTATCTCTATGATTACACCGCCTTACCTAAATCATTTTACATTTTATTTTTTTAACCACTTCGTGTCCTAATTTTGTACACACATAATTGAAATTTAGGCTTGAAAAAAAGCTTAAACCCATGAAACAATTATATATATTCTGAAAGCAGAGGCCCTGTACAATAAAACAAAATACTAGTTGCATAGTTTTTTTTATGTTGCACAATATTTTTGCAAGGGTTTATCAAATTTTATGAAAAAATAAACTAAAATTGATTTTACTGCACACTAACAGAATGTAATACCCAATTTTTTGGTAAGATAAAAGTTGGGGTTGTGTTGGGTAAATAGATACTATACATTTTAACCACCTCCCGTCTATGGCCAGTCTGAACGACCGGACGGGAGCCTTATATGAGCGGTAGGGCGTCTAAAGAATTCCTGCCCCTCCCCCTGCTCGCGTGTGGCGCTCAGCGCGCACACAAGTGGGGAAACTGTTAGCAATGTAAACAGCCAGCAATTGCGGTTTACATTCAAGTGATCGTGCGTCTCTAGAGGCCCAATAGCTTTGTGGTAGCTGCAGGTGTGCGTCGCTGGTCCCGAGATGCGCTGTGCCCGATGCAGCTGGGACCAGCACGGCGACACTGTCAGTGGACATCAAAGTGAGATCATTGGTCCCCGAATGCAGGAAGTGATGTAGATTACATCACTTCCTCCATTGTGTCATTCTCCGGTTAGAGACCCCTGATGTCTCCATAAAGAGGACCTTTTAGGTGAATTGGCTATCACAAAGGGCATTTCTCAGTCCCCTATGTCAGTGCTTCTTAAAGTGTGGGTCGCGACCCCATATGGGGTCCCGCAAGTGAACCTGGGGGTCGCGATCTGAATCCCTGGCCAAGACCGCCATCAGGGGGGTACAGCCAGCACTTGTGTGAGGGACCGAGGAGGCCTGGGCTCCAAGCAAGATTTTTTTTTTTCCGTTTAACGTGCAGTGTAGTGTAGTGCACTTGGTACCTTCCTGAGCATGTGCGCGCAGGAAGGTTTTTTTGTTTTTTTTCCCATTGACAGAACTTTCTTTAACCCAGCAGAAGTGGAGCACAGTTGCTGGAGGTAAAGGTAAGGAGGGGGAAGGGGGTTAGTAGTAGTAGTTGGTAATGACAGACACCGTCCACGGCGGCGTCGGGGGAGGTGGGGAGGAGGAGAGACACAGACAAAGATGCCCTGCCCTATGTAATAGCAAAAAAGTTAAGTGTAAAAAAAAAATAGGAAAACAAAAATGAAAGCATAAAAAAAATAAAGACGCTAAAAAAATTCACAAATAAAAAAATTTCAAAATAACACACATTTTTTTGTCTACAGCCCCCTCCCCCACACGCAAACATGCGTCGGGTGCGCCAACCTGCGAGAACGCACACTAGTTACATATCGCTGTGAACGTTGAAATGAGAACAATAATTTTAGGACCATTATTACTGATGACACTAAACTGATGAGCGGTAAAAGCTTTTAAAGCGTCGCCTATGGCCAATTTTGGGTGTGGTCGTTTTCTGCTATTTCGAGGGCGCGCACAATTTTAAAGCTTGATATGTTTGGTGTCTATTTACCCGACGTAACGCCATCTTTTATATTTTACCAAAAAATTGGGGTGATAAATGTTTCATAACATTTCATAGGGGAAGTTTTTTTTTTAATTTAGGGTACTTTTTTTTAAGGTACAGTGCTGATTAAATACCAGCAAAAGAAAGCTCTCTGTCCCCAAAAAATTATATAAAATTTGTTGCAGTACAGCGTTTCATGTCAAAGTACTGCAGCGCTGAATACTGAAAAATGGCCTGGCAAGGAAGGGGGTTAAACACCCCGGTCTTCAAGTGGTTAAGCACACCCCCAACCTTATCTTAGTGTCTTACCGTTTCATGTAATGTTCGTATTCCTTTTTACGTCTCTCCGCAGCAGTTAAATCATCTGCAGGCAAATGTTCCTTGAGTCGGAACACCTCCCCGCTCTTTTTCACCGACTGGCAGGAGCAAGCGCTCTTCTTGGACACTGAAAAGCTAAAACGAAAAAATTAAAGAGCATTACATTAAAATCTAATAGTATTTGTAAACCCCTTCCTTGCCAGGCCATTTGTAAACCGCTTCGCATTGCGGCCGGAGGGCGTGGCTACGGTGCCATTAACTTCAATGGCCTGCCACGCCCCCTCCTGCCCCACAAAAAATTGAGCTGGCAGCAATGCGATGCAGTGCGTTCTGGCCAGAATCGAGCCGAAGCGCACTGCATCTGATGTGAACTAACCGTAATATACAGAGTAGATGCACTGGGATGGAGGAGCAGAGTGAGCTGAACTGCAAGGAATGACTGGGGTGCTTTTGCTGGGAACTTTGAGGGTTAATTACTCCGCCGTGCCTGCAGGTACAGATGCCAGTTAGCGCTTGGTTTAAAGTTTCCTTTTGCTAAGAAAATTCCTAAATCCATAGTCTGACCACATGATTATTTTAAAGCAATCTTCAGCTCCAGTTTGGGGATGTTAAACACAGATCATAATGGTTAGGGCCAACTGTCATTTTAAACACGATAACGTTTTCTAAAAACCTGCAGAAACCCGTTAGCAGCTTGTTTAAAGTGCCAGCCAAAATGTCCATTATGATCTCTCTTTAACATCCTCTTACCAGACCTGAAGGTCCTTTAAGCGCATATTAAGACATGTCTGTAGTGTTGCAATACCACCCACTAATGTCCACTGTGGTGAGTAATCCTATTCATTCAATGCAAATTTAAAATGGACCTGCAAAATTTTGTTACAACGCCGCACACCATAAAGTATGGATGGTTCTCATCTGTGTGTTGCGGAGTGCTGGGAAGGTGCAGTGGGGTGCCATTCAAAATGAATGTCATCACAATGCACTTCAGTCAGTTTTGTGCATTGCCATAAAACACGCATTTTACTGCACATGATCGCAAAACACAAGCACGGATAAAGACTTCTGTTTGAGGCAGTGGAAGAGGAGCGGTGTGTGGAAAGTACAGGGGCCAAATACAGAATGAAAAAAACATAAAACAAAGCAATCCGTCAGATTTTCCTAACCAGTCCATTTGTTCCCCAATAACCCTCAGGCGGTTGTGTGCTTGCTGGCCCACAGACATTGGATCGCTCTCTGATCCAGCAAAAAAAAAAAAGATTGTGAGACAATCACTATAAAAAATAAAAATAAATCACAAGTTATGCATTCTTCATGTGAAGGGTGCTATGAACATAGCTGCTAATTATGGAGATTTAATAACTTTTGTTATACACCACAATTGGACCCCTAATTCTGAACTATTAACCCTTTAAAATACTGCATTAAAGTATCTGTATAGCCAAAACGTTTTCTTTTTTTTTTTAGTAGAGTTGGGATGGGTTAATATTGCTATCAGGTTATTTTGTTTTTATATCCGTGTCTCACTAGGGAGTTTTTTCCTTCACTCTATGCCTAGATAGGAGGGATGTGCTCAGGTTCAGCCTGAACCTGAGCTCCTCTGAACACGGAAGGAAGCTTCTTCCGCTGCCTTCAATTCATTGTGGCCAATGAGTTCCCCACCCATGGCTGCAGGTAAACAAAGAGGCAGTATGTGGCAATAAAATGTCAATGACATCAGCACAAGAACCCCGCCATTCTGTTTAGGTGAAGGAGGGATTGCCCCAGTCCCCTGTTGATTGGGTGGGTAGCCCATGGCACTGCTAAACACACAGAGGAGCTCAGGTTTGGACTGGGTTTGGTATGAACTTGAGCTCATCCCTATTTGGTAGAAGTCACCAGCACATGTGTCCCCCATTGCATGCTTACCCTCACCTCTTGATCTGATGACAACTCTTAACATTTGGGATTTCTCCTCAATGACAATGGTCACGAGGATAGAGAGGGTGAGTCTCCACCATAAAAAAAAAAATAGGAAGCTGTATGGGCACCTTTAGCCTGTGCTTTTATCAGGCCTGGCGTTACTGAGCTGTACTAAGAACAGAGTGTCCGGTATGGTTATTCCAGCCTCAGTGTGCCTCCACATTGCAAAGAGCAGTAGTGGCCCCAAATTCATGTACCCGTTTCCAACAGGTACAGGAATCTGGGTCAAGCACCGACATTTGCTGCGTGGATGCACAATGGCATTGTAAAGAATGTTGTAGACACTCCTTATGAATTCCAGGCATGGTCTTTTCAAGTCCCACTTTTCACCCTACATCTTAGTAGCACCATTGCTTACAGAATAGAGGGTGGAGGTCATAAAATGATTCTCCTTTTGGGGGTATCATTCATAATCATGTCCCCATCTTTATTCCAGGGACAGGCTTAGGTTTTGAACATTTGACCCTGGGAATTTTTCTGCCTTGGGTATGCTTTTGTTTGGAGCACTGACCATCTGAGCAGCAATGTAGCATTGGCTAGAGATCATGATGGCTGTTATCAGTAAAAGAGGTCTGACCTGAAAATGATTCATGAAAGCCAATTCTGGTTGCTGCAGGTTACTACAGAAGTGTCCACTTGCCTTATTTAAGTGTGAAAGAAATACAGAAGCTTCCACTGCTAGCCTCCTTCTGAAATGCTGGTTGCCTGGCTGCCAAGCTAATCCAATGGCTTCAGCATTTTTGGAGTCACTCTGACCTGGTGCATATATGGAGACCAGGAGTTGTAGCTCCACTTTGACTTGACGACTTGTCTTCTGCTTGTTATAGGGCACCGCTACAAATTTCAGTGGTGATGTGAAAGAATACAATTGTTTTCAGATTCAGCAATCTATAGCTTGTGTGGTCCATTGTGTGCAGTCACAGGCTGTCAGTAAAAGCCTAACAATCAACCAGCACCTTCACATGAGATTATAATCACTTGCTAGCCAGGGGTTTAACCGCTTATTGACAGCTACTCAAGTTCATAAACAATAAAAATCCCACATCTAGACAAAATGTTTCACTTTCTTACCTGACATTCGGCCAGATTTCATCCCATTCTACTGCCGGATAAGGCTGTGTTACCAAGACATGAGTGTGAGGCATGTCCAGGAAATAATTCCTATAGCAAACGAGCAGGACATATCCCAGGACAATAGCACTCATAAACAGTAGCTCCCTCCAGACATAGCGCATGCTGAGGCTCTTCCTAAGAATATTGCATCAAGCTTGGCAACACATAGAACAACGTCCTCATGTAATAAAACAGCCGCTCGCCTAAAACCCATGCAAATCTAAAGCAGCTGTAACGAGAGCCGTATGTGCTGGAATAAAAGTAAAGGTGCTGCGATACCTGGACAATAAAAGCACAGGTAAAAAAAAAAAGTGTATCCAAGACTGCTAATTCAATTGTAATTATAATTGCAGGCTTTCGAATCAAGTGGAACATTCCATACACAGCCCAAGGAGTCAACAGTAGAAAAGTCAGGTGTGTGAGATCAGCTGAAAGATCCAAAACACACTGGGAGGTATTTATCAGTTCTGTCACAAAGCAGAATGCAATGCTAACCAGGAGCAATGGGACCAATTAAGGTCCCCACACACCTTAGGATAATCGTACGATAATCGCGGGAAATCCTGCGATCGTACGATTATCGTAAGGTGTGTGGAAGCCGTGCGACCTCTACTACTGTAAGGTCGCACGACTTTTAACTTACGGACATGTTCGAAAACCCGCCGAGCATCGTACGATGTTCGGCGGGTTTGTGGCATGTTCGTACGATAACAGCCGTACGGGCCGGTGTGCATGGGGAACCTCACACTTTTTTTTCCCCTCTTCTGCAGACTGTAAAAAAAAAAATTCACTTTGCTGCAACGAACGCACGAAATGAAAACGAAACGAACTTTCGTCCAGACTACCGCTAACGAATTTAGTCAGAATCCGAATCCCGATACGATTTGAATTTCGGACCCGAATCCTGAAAAACGACATGACCAAGATGGCCGCCGGCAGGTAACTGCGGTACAGCGCATGACGTCTTCACGCGTGTGCGCAATGACGTCACATGCGTACACGATTATGTCACTGCAGGATGTCACCCGGTACCCGCATCAGGTGTCACCCCGCCTCGGGACGCCTCTGCAGGCAGGTGCACAATAACCAGTAAAAAATTAACCCAGGCCAGTTTGTTAACCACGATGCCAAGCACACTCATCAGATGTTTAAATCATTGAAAATAGAAACCCCAGGGCTTGTGTGGAAGAGACCCTTGTCGCCATCGGCACCAGGACCAAGTGCTTTTCCAAGGTGGCCCCTGGAAAAGCACCCTCCCATGTGGCCTGGTATGGTGGGGGAGGGGGGCGCTCATTCGTTCCCCCCCCTTTCCTGCCCTGCCAGGCCTGTGCCCAAGGGTCTGGTTGGGAATTTTAGGGGGGATCCCATGTTTTTTTTTGCCCCATTTTTGGGTGTGGGGGTCCCTCCTTAAAATTCCTATCAGAACTAAAGGGCCTGGTATGACATCGAGGGGGAACCCCACGCACTTTTTTTTTTGACTTGAGGTCCCTCCTAACTTTTCTACCAGCCCTAAAGGGTTTAGTATGGTTTTGGAGGGGGACCCCACATTGTTTTTTTTCTTTTCTTTTCTTTACATGTCTTTTTTTTATTCTGGTCACTACCTCCGAGGTAGCTCAGTGGCATTCGGCTATTCATTTACTGCCGTTCAGCCCCTATGAGAATAGGACGAATGGCAGTGAGTGAACTGCCGGAGGTTCGGCTCAGCCGATCCAAATGTTGTCGAACGTGTTCTTCACTTCTGAGCATATTCAGCTGAATCAAAGCAAGCCATAGTGAGCCAACGTTTGGCTGATTTTAGCCGATGTACGGCTGAAATCAGCCGTATGGGGTCAAAGTGAATAGCCGAAAGGTGTTCGGCTCAGTTCACTTCGGCTTGGTTATTCATTCGGCTGCCTTTGGCAGCTTAGTGAATAACCCCCTATGTGTCTACCTGCTGAGGTGCCCATGTGGTTTTCTGTACATGGGTAGACCCACCCAGAAAGTGATGCATGGGGTTCTACACATAAAGGGACAACAGAATGAACTTCTGGTGAAAGGGCAGGCAAGACTGTTATAGACGGCCTTTCCATAGGAAAGAATGGAGGGAGTTTAACAAACCTTCAGGCCTAAATGTGCTTTATAGCATGCGTGCAAAAAAAATAATAAATGCACAAATAGCTCTGGTAGGAAAGGGTTAAGGAGGATGGGGATGTCTCCAGTTGAGCCTGCTCTTTGTTCACTGCTGTACATGCAAATCTCCCAAATGTCCCTCATTTGGAACCAAATCCCTCTGTCCCTCTTTCCTCCTCAGTTGTCCCTCTTTTTTGTCTGATGTACAGATTTCCATGAAAAGGTTCTATTTGACTACCAAAATTGCTACTGCCTTTATCTTACCTCTTTATTATCTTGTTTGCTATTTTAAAAAGGCACGAGAAAGGAAAAGTAATGGTGAAAGAAATCAATTCTACGTTTAACCAATCATTTTTGACATATGAATTCTTAATGGTCCGCATAACTGTGGCATTGGCAGGGATGTTTTCTTTGCCCATATATATAAGTAGGGGTGTGGCAGGGGTGTGTCCATTGCCTATATATAAGTGGGAGTATGGCATGGGTGTTTCCATCGCTTATATATAAGTGGGGGGTATGGTATGAGTGTGTTCATTGACTATATATAAGTGGGGGTATGGCATGGGTGTGTCCATTGCCTATATATAAGTGG